CTCCATGTTCATGAATATCTTATTTTGTCTTGTATGAAAAATGGACGTCTTCTGTATTAAATTTGGAATAATGACAAATGTTGGCTTCTCCCTCCTGAAATGAAAATCTTTTTTTCTTCTCCCTCAGAGAAATATCTTATTTATAATAAATAATCCACAATAAAAACAATGACAATGATTATCACTGATTTATTCGTGACATCGGCTGAACTTATAACTAATTTCATTACATTTTAATTTGGAATTCAATCTGCTGCAGATTCTTAAAGAAACAGTGTAAGAGAGTGAAGGCGTTGATATTACATTTTCTTAATGAATAGTTTATATTACCTCATACTGCCTTGATGTGAGGCCATTGCAGAAAGAAGAACAGCAGCTGAACCAGCAATGACTGGAACTAAACGGTGACGGTCGCATTACAAATCTAAAACACACAGAATGTTGTAAATTTTGTGGTGTGCTGCAGTAGTTTCATAAATCATTAGGATATTGACACAGATCTCTTTTTTTAGCTCCTGAACTCATCGCTTCCTCATTCACTCACCACAATGAGCTCGGCGGTTTGCTGCCTCTACTTGATACATAATGATGAATCACTTCTGGTCACTCCTACACATGTACTTTCTTCTGGATGGGATTTTCTTTGACTCCTCACCAGTCTGAGGTTGTTGTCATTAATGACCAACACGTTAAGCAACAGCAGGGCGTGCCACTGTTATTGTCACCATGGAAATGCTACGGATCCCCTCCAGGCATGGTTTAAGACAAACAGGAGCTATAATCACAGCTCGTGTCTGACATGTTTGTTGTTGTTTTGTTCTCCCACAAAATGCAGTGACTCGTTTTTTCTACTCTGACATCAACCCCCTTGTGCAAATATTGTTAATTTCAGCTCAGGTTGTCTTCTGCTGTAGTGACAAGTCCATCCTCAGTGTAGTAGAATACAATACAATACAATACAATACAATACAATACAATACAATACAATACAATACAATATTTTTTTTATTGATCCCAGAAATGTATACGCCACAGCAGCATCTAGAAATATAGAAAGTATAAGAAAATAACAATAATTAGTAATAACAGTATTTACATTGAAAAGAAAAATGGAAATTTGTGCAAATCTGCAGTGCAAAAGTTTATTCGAGACCATGAAATATCAATTTTGTCCACTTGGTCAACATCAGCCAGTGACGCTGATGTTGTGAAGTCTCATTACAGTTGGTAGGAATGACCTGCAGTTGCTCCTTCTTGCAGGATGGATGTCTCAGTCTGCTGCTGAAGGAGCCACTTAAAGCCCCCACAGTCTCATGNCTACATATAGGTCCATAAAAATGCCTTAATGAAGAAGTTTAGAATTAAATCATAATGCCTTTCATAAAGCTGTTGTCCAAAAGTTGCACATTATTTATGTAGTACACTGCCTAAATAAAAATGCACCTAAATGTAAAATCTAGAAAATCCCACTGGAATCTTATTTCACAAGTCATTTTGATCAAAACAAACCTATTATTTATAATATTAGCATAACTTTAAAGTTTTTATGTCGCTCTTATATTACCTGCAACATAAATGCTAACATACATGTTTTTTTTGTTTGTTTTTGATTCAACTGTTTATTATTGTCATCTTTTTAAAGAATTGATGAGAATAGGACAAATGTTATAACTTTCCTGGCATAAAACTAAAATCAAATCACTTTTCACCAGAGATGCTGAGAGTACATTCATGAGAATTCAAGGTAGCTAGCTGGTATAGCATGACATTATTACCTTGTCCTGTAGTCAGCTAGTTAGCCTTTCAGACAATTGATGACACAGTTTTAGTGCTATTTAGGTATTGCGTCGTTGTTTTAGAGGGTTGTGGACATAAGTTAACATTGGAAAGGCTGGGTGTTGAAAACCATCAATGTCTGTGGGGCCTTCTGATTGGAGGGTATCTTCCCTCAAAAATCCTACTCCTACACTTTCACATACTATATAAAAGGCATGGTTTTTGGAGTTTTTATTTTTTGTTCAAATGAATGGGTAACACTCCACATGACTCTCATGTAAACAGTTAAATAGTAAGTTCACATGGTGGCATTTAAGTTCAAGTAAAAGTTTATTTTTTGAGTTGTTGTTTGTGTGTTGTTTTGTTATTTCCATTATTATCTACATTCTGCTCTTAAACCTTAGATTCTAGGCTACGTGTACGAGGTCCACAACGTGTTCCCAGGATTCAGGATTTATTTTTTAAAACCAAAGACCAGAAATGCCTCGTCACCGTGACTCGCTTGACTCCGATATTCCCCGAGTGTGTTCTGTCCTGTCAAGCCGCGCCCGCAACAAGGAAGTATGAAGAGGTTGCGAAATCTGTCTACCTCACAAATATCATCATGGAATCCTTCCCCAAGAGTCCTATCATATCACCGACTGCAACACTTTTCCTTCAGGCGTCGTTGGGTTAAATTTAGAGGAAAAACTTTCTCAAGACGTGCAAACAGCCTGGTCTATCTACGCCTACAGGATTGTTGCCAGAAATGCATTGCTTTCAGATGAGGAAGAACGTTACTCTGCATATGTAGACAGCTTAAGCCAGGAATGAGAAGAATGTACTCTCTCTCCAGACAGATCTTTGTTGTTTCATGATATACAGGAAACGAGGGGAGAGGTTTGGGAATGACATGCAGCACAGGTTGGCTGGAATCATGCAGACCGTGCACCACAACCACATAGAAATACTACTGACGCAAAGCAGAGGTGAAATGGGCCGAACCCTTAAGAAATAATGGGTTATTAATCTTTATCAACGTCTAAATAAAAATGCTGTTATCGCTGAAGTGTTACAGATCCAAAAGTTAAACATCTACCACTGAATCCAAAGTTCAGTAAACACACGCCGTCATTCCTCTGAAAGGAAACCGTAAAGTGTCGCTCTTGACACTGTCACTGCTCCAAACCAGGATCCAGTCTTAATGTTATTCTGTAGAGAAACTGTAGAATACTGAAGCAAAAAAAATGAAAAGAAAGCTGCTTGTTTTGAATGGAGCCTCGACAAGGACCTGCACGGCCGAGGCTGTAGGTAGCAAGAGACTAATCAAACAAACGGTCAAAGACAACAGTAAGTGAGGACATTGCATTTAGTCCTCTGGCTTCAACTCACCGGCGACCTGACTCACTGGACAAACATCCAGTCAGTGTACAGGGCCACAAATTTAGATTTAGTCCTTACAAGGGATATTTTGTGTTGTCCAGAGACATGTGCACGCCTGAGACCAAGTCCCCAGAGTAGGTTTAAAAATAAACGGTCATAAAATGGTTATTTCCCACAAGTCCTGCCAGTCATGGACGCTAAAATGCAGGAAAAGGCTTTGCTGTTTTGACAAGTGTTGCTGTTTATGCTTGTGTGTGTATGTGTGTGTGTGTGTGTGTGTGTGTGTGTGTGTGCAAATTTCATTAAAAAAAGAAAAAGCACTGCATGAAATGACACAGATTGTACAAAAAAAAAGGCAAATTACCCCATTTACTTTATTTTCTCCCCCCGTGAGAAAAATGTAGTGGGCTGCACGGTGGCTTGGTGGTTAGCTACAAGGTCGCTGGTTCGCATCCCAGTGAGGACACCTGGGAGCTTTCTGTGTGGAGTCTCCATGTTCTCCCCGTGCAGCGTGGGTTTTCTCCAAGTTCTCCGGCTTCCTCCCACACAGTCCA